ATTACAAAACAAATTGTTATAGCCTCCATTTAGTTGTCTAAAAGACGAAAAACGTGAAAAATGAAACCACAAGGACCAAACGCATAGTGGTTTATATAGTTATACTGAAATAACATGTTTTGACAAACCACATAGACCAACCATATAATTTTGTCTTATTTTAAATACATAATGTCTAACGTTATTGGCTAATAGAGAAATGAGCTCATTTTGAATTTTGTGATCAAGATAATGATGATGATTTTCAATTTGTTAACAAGATTTGTATTACACCATAAAATTTTGTCATTATTTCAACTAGTCCTAAAACATTATCATTACTATATTGGTAATGTTTTTCATAAGACATTTAAACTATTTCACATCATAAATTATGTTTCGTAAAACTTGTCTCCAACGCTATAAAATCTTTTTTTATTAGTAAATTTAAATAATTTACAACAAAAACAATACACTTTATCAACATATTTAGAATAAACTAACCATTTTCCATCAAGTGTCTTTTTATTTAAGTTTTTAGCATGTCAGAAATAGTTCATTCTTTTACTAACAAGCACCATAAAAACCATTCAATTTCAACATGTAAAAATAAACACACTAAATACATCAATTACTACTCAACAAAGTAATTAAAATTCTCAACCAAATTTGTTTTCTACTAAACTAAATTTGCATAAAATAATCAAATTGGAATAGTGTCATTATCTAATATAATCTACTTACCTAAAGATTTCTTGTTACAGCATACAACATTTGTCCTCTAATTCAACTACCATGGTTGCCCTTTCTTCGTAAGCCTTCTAGCCAATTCCATGTCCTTTTTCACTAAAAAAAAAATTAAAGAAAATGTGAGGACAGGTGTCGCATCCACAAACAATCAGAGCTCCATGAAAAAACTTACTCAGGGTAACACGCTTTGCATGAATCGAGCACAACATTGAATCTTCAAACAACTGAACTATGTAATCTTCTGCAGCCTGAATTTTTGCTTAAATATAAGTTTTCTAGTAATAAGATTTCATTAAGTTGATGAAATAAAAAAAGAAATTTATTAATTAATCAAGAAATTATTATGAAACCTCTTGAAGGGCTTGTAGAGCTTCAGCTTGCCAACGTGTAACTTCAGGGGCAATGTAGTTGCTTATCTCTTTTACCTACAAACTCAAATGTTATTATTAGTTCATTAAAGATTTCTTACTATAATATTTCCAATCTAGTATATACTCAAATTTGATATCTGTGTTGCATTAGATACAATTTATTAGATCATGAAGTAACTATATTTGATAAGTTTAAAAGAACAAGATTTACCAAAGCTTACTACTGTATAATGTTAATGTAATTCACAACTTTGTAGCCACATGAATAGAAAGGTTTTTATGTTATAATTTGGTTAATTTGTCACAAAACCAGTTTATATAGATCACTAGAATCCTTAATGTTTCATGATATTTGTATATCGTGATTCTCAATTTCAACTTTTCAAGTTGGATCAATCTAAATTCTAAACAGGGGTAAACAAAAGTTTCATAATTTGTTTCCGTATATTTGCTAAACCCTAAAGCCTGAATTAGCAGATGTCAATCAATGTGTATAAACACATACATACAAAAGTTTAACATGATTAGATGGATCAAGACATCTTACAGTTCGAATGAAAGGAGCAGCTGGAATGAGAAGGTTAACAGTCTTCTGAAGACGACGAATCTCACGAAGTGCTTGAGTTCCAGGCTTAAAACGATGGGGTTTCTGTTTCTGCCTTTGTCCAGTTCCTGAACCTAAATTACAAAATACTTCAATTCAGAAAATTCAAAAACACATAACACAAATCGAAATGTGAGCAAAAACTCACTCCCTGGATCCTTTCTCGGAGATTTCCGTGGCTGCCGCGATTCAAAAAGCAACCAAAAAGAAATAAAACTACATTGCATCAGAAAAACTTCGAAACGACGAATTTTATGGAAAGAATTCAAAAATTGAAACGAGAGAGGGGTTTTAAGAGCATTACCGTACTTGTTGAGGCTGAAGTTGATGCTCCAGCTGCAATTACACAGAGAAGGGAAAAAAAAAATTAGGGTTTGAACAAAACCTGAAAACAAAAACGAGATCGGAGAGCAAGAGATGGAGATCGAGATAGTGACCAGATTGTCGCTTGCCCCAACTTCGTTTAGCAGGTTGTTTGGTTCTCGCCATTGTTGATTCGATTTGATGTTGGAGTTGCTGCCCGTTGGTGTGGAAACGGTCGACTGGTTTTGCTCTTATTTCGAAATTAAGGACATGTATTTCCCCGCTCAGTTTGTTTTCATTCGGATCCAACTATCTCAACCCGGATCCGGCTTGTGGTCGTTATTTGATTATTTCTACCAATTGGGTTTAAATATTCCTGTTTAAATTCTAATTTTAATTTGGGTTAATAACATAAAACACTTTATATATTGAAATTTTTTTTATTAACCCTCAAAGTTATTATTATTATTATTATTATTATTATTATTATTATTATTTTGTAAAATGGTCCTTACATTCCCATTTTTCTTTTATTTGTTCATTTTAGCAAGTTTGTGGTCTTCTCGTTTTACAAAAGTTTTTCCAGCATCCAAAGGCTACAAACATCACATACCAAGCCAATTTATCACTGACTACTCAGCACTAGCATGCAAGTCTAAGAGCTCATATAGCACACAACGGCATCTCTCCTAGCCCTAACTAGCATACGATATTCAGATTGATAACCAGATCATAACAGATAACAAACATGGGTATTCTAGGGAAACTTACTTGAGCTCGGCTGATTGCATGCACCACACCCTTTCTTTTCTTAGAAAACTTTTCCTTGAAAACATTTTCCTTTAAAACCTTACAGATCCTTAGTCTGAGTTCAGACACATATGTTCGAATCCTTCAAACCAAGGCTCTGATACCAACTTGTAACAACCCAAAAATCAGGGGTGAAAATTTCATTTTTAATATAACTAAAACATTGATATCATTTAGTTCAAACAATCAAATCATAGTTAATTAAATCGTTTATCAGAGTTTATCCCAAAATCATTCATTGCGGAAATCATAGGTGTGTGCACTGCGATCAACCCGAGATATTCCTTTCCAAAACGATGATACCTGAAACCATAAACAAAACCTGTAAGCACGAATATTAGTGAGTTTCCCAGTGCATACCATTCACACAACCCACATATCACATATCCTCTTAGCTATAAAAGCTACACACATATCATATATATTGTTAACTATAAAACCTACCATATATCACATAATCCCTACATACATAAACATATAACAGTGTCATGGGCTACCCCACATGATCTTTACCTAGGACTGCCATGGGCTCCCTCATGCTAGAATGAGAATGATTATTGATATGTGTAACTGCTACGTGTATGTTTTTAAAATTGTATACGGCTAGGATCTCATGGCCTTAGAATAATTTGGTATGGCTCGTTTCCCGTTCTGTGTACAATTTGCATGCATAAGACAGCCGTCAGTGAGGGTGGGTGTGGACATCACGGGTTGTGGTAAGTGGGCTGGATATTCTATGATCGTTTTTGGGTCAGAGATTACCCTAAGACGAGCCTAGGATGAGATTAGTGTCAGGAGTGCATCTGCACGAATGCTACTTGCTTTGTGCTTTGTGGAACTCTTTAGTGATGGGAGTCAGCAACTAAGTGGATGTGACGATATCCATGAGGTAGATGATTAGCATCGCAGGGAGTTCCTCAGCAACTGATGGCAGGGTGAGGTTGGGAACCTAGGATATGCTCCAGTGAGTAGTGTGGCGGTTTGGTGTGATTGGGAGCCTAAGGGGAGACCTAGGAGGTGTTTAGGTGGATATTGTGTTGCTGTCTAACAGACATTTAGTACATCAGGGAAGTAGGTGACTTAGAGGATTTGGGATGATTCCGGAGGAAAGTATGGATAGGTGTGGAAGGTAGTATTGGGCCCGTACTACTGAAAGCACAGGATCCATACTCGAATCGGGGAAAGTCTCGAAGAATCCAAGAAACCTAGGAAAGGAATTCGTGGTTACGAGTGGACTGTGGGGATAGCTGCAGTGCAGAATGCGGATGAGCACGCAAGGGGAAGGACCAGGGTTTGGTCTTGGCTCCGGTAGAGATCCAGTTAGCAGAAGGACTGTCAGGATTGAGAGTTCGCATTGGATCTCTTGTATCAGGCGGCAAGGATTGATGGTGCGATCTATAGCACTTTCGGAGTTAAAGACTTTGTCTTGGGGATAGTTTGTAACTGGTTGGGAGCATAGGTTGCTCCATCTATTGCAGATCGGCCATGGACGATTGAGCAGGTGAGTGTGTCAGGGTGCGAGACCCTGAATGTTATGATTTCTAGAGTTCGAGAGTAGGGATTGATTAGGGTCACCTTTGGAAAAGGGGACCAGCCCGGGTGCCTATAGGGGAGGATCTCGGGAGGGGGATCCAGGAGTTTGGATCAGCTTTTAAGAGGCCAACAAGGCCAGATTCGGTGCAACACTTGCGAAAACTACGCGATGGAGCTCGTTACAAGGGATTGGATTGCCATTGGGATCGGGATGAAGCGTTGCATCATGTTTTCCGGATGGTCGAGGTAACTCTGGAGGAGATGGTCAGGAGTCATCCAGGTGTTTGCGGATATACTATCTTCGGCCATTTCCGATGGTACCGGTAATTTATGTTACTTGGGGAGTGTGATAGTTAGACCTCGAGTCGGATTTCTGCTAGTGTTCGAGTTAGAAATAGTATCAGGTGCCAGCCAGCGCACCGAAGAATCTTTAAGGAGCTTTCGGATGGACGTATCTTGCGGAGTGGATTCCGCACATACCGGGATCACTCTGAGTCATTGTCGGAGGCTATCCGGTGATCTTGGTAGCTACAGGTGTAGCAGGTTTGGCCACGTCAGCAGGGAATGCCCATAGGGGGCAAGTCTGTCATATTATCGTTGAAGGCAGATGGGGACAAGGAAGTTAACCACTTGTCGATCAGGGAGGAGCAGTGAGGGCACCGACTCCAGTTATCAAAGAATTTTCAGTACGCGTGTGTCATTTTAGGTATGGCCTGGATTGGTTCCAGGGCTTATATGATGGAAATTATGACTAGGTTTCAGTAACCTTAGCTATCATGTTTGAAAAGGCTCCCGAGGTTGTCAAGGGAAGAGAGAATTGTTGCTGAAGATTTGGTTAGACCATCTGACCTTCGGTCAGCAAGAATCGAGTATAATAGTATTTAAAGCATCTAAATCCGTTGATATGGTTGGGATACAGAGATGCTAGCGGGTTTTCAGAAGTTGTGCTATTTTGGGAAGGGTTATTCTTGGTGTTCTAGCTTTGCTAGGCGCCGCTCGTCAGCAGATTAACCATTGGAACGAAAGAGAGAGGATGTGGGAATCCTTCAATTTTCATGTGCCAAGCGGACTTAGTCGAATCTAAGTAGGGGAGAATTATTCAGATATCCTGGAGAAAAGCAAGTGTGAGACGTGGATGCGTCTCACATTTTCTTTTTGGGGAGGAAAGGCGGCCCCAGGGACCAACTGAGTATCGGATATCGTGGGATGGGAGTTCGGGAAACTCGCTGGCATTTGGATCGCGTCCTTCTGACGTCATATTGCAGGCTTCGGGGAAGGGAACCACGTAGTGTTCCAATCGGTAATTGAGTTCAGTTTGGGAGGATAAACTATGTGGGTGCTAAACAGTGAGATGCGTTCGGATTGATAGGTGAGTAGTAGGGCCATGGGCAACGATCATGTGGTATGAAAGTGTTGTAAGACTACAGGGGAGTCGTAGCATTCACTGTGAAAGTGTTGTAAGACTACGGGGGAGCCGTAGCATTCACTGTGAAAGTGTTGTAAGACTACGGGGGAGCCGTAGCATTCACTGTGAAAGTGTTGTAAGACTACGGGGGAGCCGTAGCATTCACTGTGAAAGTGTTGTAAGACTACATGGAGCTGTAGCATTCACTAATAATGGGATGGAATGGGAAGTGTTGTAAGATTACGGGGTAGTCCTAACATTCATGAGTTCTTCGAGCGACTGGGTCTACGGTATATCAGTTCGCAAAGTCGTGGGAAAGCCACAACTTAGGTAGAATAAGGATCGGAGGGATTATTCGATGGATTATTCATAGGCGAGCCCGGATGGGTATGGGATTTCAGGATGGAAATGGTATAGACTGTTGAGTCAATGGTTGGATCTCGAGTTGTAGGATCTTGTGGATAAGTGGCACATGATGCAGTATGGCTACGGCTAAGTAGTCTTGGTTTTTGATCACCTGGAAACCTGGTGGTTGGACCAGATGAGAGACTGGTAGTCTCAGGGATCGGCTAAGGGTGATTGTCTATCTGCCACGAAGGGGACGTCGGTAGTTATGTTGTATTATGAACCTCGAGGTAGTAGCGGGGTGTCGACTGGTTTCGGAAAGGATTCCGAATCAGGGTACGTGCATGTTCAGTACATGATTTTGTTTCAGTAAGATGAGATTGGGAGCATTTGATTCCAAGGGCATCAAATGCAGGATACCAGGGTAATGAATGGGTGTGGTTGATGGTAGCTCAAGCCATCACAGTGCGACTCGAATTGGTTCTATCAGTAATAGGACCATGACATGTTTAACCAGGAAAAGACAGGTTGAGGGAGGTCGGGTATGATGTAAGACCACAGTTGTTCTTGTGGAATTCATTTTTGCGTCGGAATTAGTGGCGACGGGTTGTCAGCCTGTCATGATCAGATGGATCAAGAGAGTGAAGGAGTCGAGAGAAAAGTTATCGTCAGGGTGGTTATTATCAGACGAGGTGTCCTTCGGATGTCATGTGGGAATGTGGAGCATGTGTCTCTGGCTCAGCAAGCGGGAAAGTGTCCGGTGCTTCGGACAGTTGTCAGTCAAGTCGGGACCAGGGAGGTCCCGGTCGTTCTTCGGAAAAGCAGTTTCGTAGTAGCAGGATGTTGTTTGAGCCACAGTGATAGGATAACTAGTGGAAACTAGTTCCAGAGAAAGATTTCATTCAGAAGTCGTGGGAGAGACTGAGTGAGGAGTCCTTGGACTCCACGGCTGAGTTGGAACTCGGTGTTGCAGGTAACCGACGGATGATTGGAGACCAGGAAGGTCTCGAGATATTTTGGGAAGCAACCATATAGCAGTTCAGTGTTTCAGTCAGTTTAGTGTTTCAGGAGTTTGGTGCTACCGACAATAGTGACCGGCACCGAGAGTGGCTGGAGTGATGGTCATCGTGAAGGGTACGTTCCTCACAGTGACAAAGGAAATGGATAGCTATAGAGG